TCGCAGCAGATGTCACAAGCCGCTGTTAGCCTCAGAAGAAGTAGCGGTACTAGCAATACTAGTAGTAATCGTCGTCGTAGTAGTAGTAGTAGTAGTAGTAGTAGTAATGGCAGAACTCATTCGGCTGCTGCGAGGAGGAGAAACAAAGAAGCGGGAACAGCGTCTCAGCAGAAATGTCTACTAATTTCTACTAGGTTCTTCCAGATAGACCCAGTAAGAGAATCTTACCGACCCTTTCTGCCCTCTGGGGCTACAGCTGTCAGGCGCATGGCCTTGCGGCAGAGTCTAGGCTTCAGAGTTTAGGGTTTAGGGGTTAGGGTTTAGGGTTTAGGGTTTAGGGTTCATGTTCAGTTTGTCCGTGATCTTGGTCAAGCCGATCATCAGCTCCCTACCATTGCCGTCTCACCATGTCCGAAACAGCAGCACTGTGACGACAATGACGTCAAGGCGGTGATGGTGGGTCGCTCGACAAAGCTGCTGTAGCGCACTATCGACATTGAGATGCCTTTGGGAGCTTCTGCGAAAACCATCATCATGGCTATTTTGGTGATAGTTGATAAGGCACTATCTTCACCGCCGCTACCATCACCATCGCTAACAGCGTCACCTTCTTCTTCTTCTTCATGAGTATGATGGAATTTGAAAGCAGCCGTGTTGATTTTGATGCGTCGAACGCAAGCTATTGAGGTAAGTAACCTTGTGAAATGATAAAAGGAAGAAGCAAACAAAACAACGACAACCACTGCTACTACTACTCCTCCTCCTCCGCCTCCTCCTCCTCCTAATCCTACTCCTACTCCTCCTCCTTCTCCTCCTACGTCCTACCTCCTACCTCCTGCCTCCTACCTCCTGCTCTTGCTCCTTCTCCTCTTCCTACTCTACCACTACCACTGCCACCACTACCACCACTTACTACGACGATGACGACTGCTGCCACTACCAACACCACCACTACTCAGAGGGGCAGGATCTTGGCGCGCGGAAGGCCTCAAGCGGCTCCAGCAGCTCCACGCTCTGGGCAGCAAGGGCGAAAATAGGAAAAACAATCTCAACGGTTTAGGGTTTAGGGTTTAGGGTTTAGGGTTTAGGGTTGAAATAAAACGACCGATCGTCGGTTCCGAAGTCGTTATTCTCTTCGAAGTCTTGCCGTCTTGAGATTTGGGACGTTGGGGGGTCCATGGTTTGCACGGAAATGTGCTCTTCTTAAGGTTGCTGTCGCAAGCAAAGCCTTCAACCTGAGATTCACCCCGACACAACATGCAGAAACAGCCTGGGAAGGGTTTAGGGTTTAGGGTTTATGTAGGGTTTTTTAAAGTGCATTGGTCCTTTTCACTCCGCAAAAGACCCGCCTAGTTTATATAGGGTTTAGGGTTTAGGGTTTTAGGGCTTAGGGTTTATATAGGGTTTAGGGTTTAGGGTTTATATAGGTTTTCGTCGGGGGGGATCGCCAGGAGGACAGCCAAACGTACTCTGAACAACTAAGATGCACTACCATACACTCACCAAATCATTGATATACAGCTTGCTTAGGGCCGCTTCATGTGCACAACTAGAGGTCGCAGAATTGGGGCTTCGGTCAGGATTTGCGTGGAAATTGCGAAAGAAACAGAGCCGATGCCTTGGCTTGGGGTTCTGGGCTTATGTTTGCAGGCTCTAGAGATTTAGGACTGAGCGATATAGGCCTGAAGCTGGCTGTCACGAGTAGAACCACCCAGAGAACCCAATACCCCTTAATTAAGGAATATACCTTAAAGTATAATATTAAGGCCCCTATAATTTAAGGTGTATTCCTTAATTAAGGGGTATTGGAGTCTCTGGGCCAGAAGCTTGCAAGGTGTCACCCACGCCCAGGCCTCCCACGGATCCAAAACCCAAATAAACCCTGATGCCTAAGCCCTAGACCCTGAAGCCAAATTTAGGATGCCGTTGGCAAATAAGCGGTCCCCGGACATTATTCAGCTGTGGGTCCAAACCAGACCCGGCTAAACAGTTTACTAAAGTCGAGACCCACAGCTAGGAGAAGCCACGACTACGCTAAAATGAGACCCCCGGAGTTCCCAGAGACTCCAATACCCCTTAATTAAGGAATATACCTTAAATTATAGTAGGATCCCTAATATGATTTAAAGTATACTCCTTAATTAATTAAGGGGTATTGGGAGTCTCTGGGTTTCAAGCAGCTCCACACATTGCGGGTGCGCTTGACACTAAGACAGCCGGAGGCGTGGGGTCACGGTGTGCTTAGGCCTTTCATGTCTCCATTCCAAGCCCCATATCGGTTTATGATGTTTGGGTTCCCTAAACCCAAAACCCAAAACCCTAAACCCTAAACCCTAAACCCGGGTGCAAAGCAACCTTTCAGCTCAGGCCGTTTGCAGTTCTTGTTTAGGGTGTGGGGCTAGAGGAGCTCGAGCCTTGTCCAGAAGCCGGTCCAGCAACAAATCGTCCGCTGCTTTCACCGTAGCCTTGGGAAGCCTAAACCCTACTTGAAGGATCGTGG